GGGTTATGCTCTGTCCTCCACAGTGGAAGCAGAAATGCTTCTGAGTACCAGTTGCTGAAAACCACAGGAGGGGAGAGATGCTCTTGTGCTCGAATCCTGCTTGTCGGTTTCCCACGGGCACCTGGTCAGCCTGTGAGAACAAAATGAGCCACTGGCCTGATCCAGCAGGCTCTCATAATTCTACCAGGGGCTATTAGTTGTGGTAGCACTTCTTTGTTTACTGGAAGAATCCATGCTGAATAAGCAGCACAAACTTGGGAGAAGGGATCTTGAGTTAGTGCCACCCTTCGCAGAAACATCCATCTGTTGGAAACAGGATGCTAGACTAGATAGGCCCTTGGTGATCAAGTAAGTGAATGCATGATATACTTGTAATCATATACTTGACAAGTTAATTTTGCCTTAGGCAGCAAGCATTCTACCTGCTTTTAAGTACACATATAAATAAGCGTATCTTAAAAAGCAGAGACATTACCTTGCCAACAAAGGTCCGTATAGTTAAAGCTATGGTTTTCCCAGTAGTGATGTATGGAAGTGAGAGCTGGACCATAAAGAAGGCTGATCGCCGAAGAATGGATGCTTTTGAATTCTGGTGCTGGAGGAGACTCTTGAGAGTCCCATGGACTGCAAGAAGATCAAAGCGATCCAGTCTTAAGGAAATCAGCCCTGAGTGCTCACTGGGAGGACCGATCCTGAAGCTGAGGCTCCAATACTTTGGCCACGTCATGAGAAGAGAAGACTCCCTGGAAAAGACCCTGAAGTTGGGAAAGATGGAGGGCACAAGGAGAAGGGGACAACAGAGGACGAGATGGTTGGATAGTGTTCTCGAAGCTACCAGAATGAGTTTGACTAAACTGCGGGAGGCAGTGGAAGACAGGAGTGCCTGGTGTGCTCTGGTCCACGGGGTCACGAAGAGTCAGACACGACTAAACGACTAAACAACAACAACATATAAATAAGCTCAGTTGTTTGGGAATTTGACAGCCACTGTTTCTGTAGAATCAAAACTCTAATATTAAACTGCTTGTAGAAGACAACTTTATGAGTAAAACAGCCGTCGTTCAGCTCTGCCCTACCACCCATTCATTAAAAGAAAAATGCCCTATAATAATTCTTGCAAGGCAAGAGTGACACCTTCTGGTAGAGCTGCAATATAGAAATTTGAGTTTTTGAACTCCAAAGCAATTCTGAAGAGTATTTAAGACAGGGTTAATCCAGTGTGGTGATTCCAATGGTCAGGGATGATGGGATTTAGTGCACAACACCATATTGGCTACCCATTATTTGAGAGGTGTTGAGAAAGGCCTGAGCAAGCTGGACAAGCAGTTCAACAAGGCTGTGTGCATAGCCCAGAGCATATTCTATAGCAGAGTTCAACACATACTATGCTCATTAATAGGCCATCAAACTTCGGTTATGTCTATCCATTCACACATACAGAACTTACAATGCTCAGCTAGGCAACATCTGAATATACTGACATGCTTTGCATTTTGTGTATTTGGATGTTTTGAACATTTGCTGTATGCCACTTTGAGGACAAGCTCATTGTGGAAAAGCAGCATATAAGTACACTCAGTCTATCAATCAATCAGTCAGGGCACTAGTTACCCAAACTGTGGTAGTTCATCAGTAGAAACAGTGGGCACTTTGAAACCTAACACCAAGTTCAATCTTGCATGAATCAGAGTAAGCCTTGGATCTGATGAAGAAGAGCCACACCCCACTGCCCAGTACATGATCCCATTTTCAAACTGCTCCTAGAATCAGTAAGTTTCTCCTTAGGTTCAACCAAAATGAATTCTCTCGTGACTTAACCCTACTGATCTAGTTCTGCCATCTGGTATTTGACAGTGCTATCTGTCCTCTGTCTTCTCTTTTCCTGGCTAAACATACAGTGGTACCTTGGGTTCTTAAACTTAATCTGTTCCGGAAGCCCGTTCGACTCCCAAAACAGTTCAAAAACCAAGGCGCAGCTTCCGAGTTGGCTGCAGGAGCTTCCTGCACTCAAGCAGAAGCCATGTCAGACGTTCGGCTTCTGAAAAACATTCGCAAACCGGAACACTTACTTCCGGGTTCATGGCGTTTGGGAGCCGATTTGTTCGTCAACTAAGCCATTTGAGAACCACCGTACCACTGTACTCAGGTTCCTTCAATCTTCCCTCATAGGACTTGTTCTCGGAACCATCTTCATTGCCCTCCTTTGACCTCATTCAGACTTATCCAAGTACAGTGGTACCTCAGATTACATACGCTTCAGGTTACATACGCTTCAGGTTACAGACTCTGCTAACCCAGAAATAGTACCTCGGGTTAAGAACTTTGCTTCAGGATAAGAACAGAAATCGTGCTCTGGCGGTGCGGCGACAGTGGGAGGCCCCACTAGCTAAAGTAGTGCTTCAGGTTAAGACCAGTTTCAGGTTAAGAACGGACCTCCAGAATGAATTAAGTACTTAACCCGAGGTACCACTGTATTTCTCAAAATGAGGCATGTAGAACCTGACATAGCATTCCAGATGAGGTCAGACTAGTACAGAAGCAAGTGGGATTATTTCTCATGTCTTGGAAATGACGGGTCTATTAATGCAACTAAATATCACACCACCCTGTGGCTGAATATACAGCCACCATCATTTTCACACGTACTGCCATGACAGAGATGCTTCTTCCTACGACCTGCGTGCTTCTTTTGGGAGGGGGTTTGGGGGTGGGTTGCTGAGGAGCAGGACTTTGCATTTGCCTTCTGAACCTTATGCTGTTTGTATCAAAATGTAGAAAACAACGCTGAGAAAGACTCAAGACTTTGGAGAACTGTTACTATGGTCCAGCCTTGCCAACCTTCAGAAGTTTTGGTCTACAACTCCTATCAGACGCTGGCTGGGGCTGATGGGAGCCGTAGTGCAAAACATGTGGAGCCCATCAGGCTGGCAAAGGCTGAACTATAGCCTATGCAGACAATACTTTGCTAGGTAGGCCAATAATGTGATCCAACAAGAGGCCCTTTAATATTTTTTTTGCAGAAATTCACTGAGCGCTCTCAAGTACAAAGGCTCACCTAAGTACCACTTGAGATTCCAACCCATATTTCTACTCCCCAGAGTGTGCAACTGAAGAGTCGAACTTGCAGCCACTGGTAGCAGAGACGGCCAAACTAAAACACTTATATTTGCTAGAACTTATCGTTCGATACTGGGGGAGCAAAAGAAAGAAACAGCAGCAAAGAATCGAGTATTATGCTACTAATATGCATCATTACAACATAAGGCAAACACTGGAGACAAGGCTGCTATTCATCTGAGAAGCACAGCTGGTCTTGTGTTAACACAGGCCATCCCCCACCACACTGTTCGTTTTAGTATGACGCTTCCATCTTCTTCCAGTGGTGGTGGTGTGAAAATCTTCACCAGTTAACTCCACCCACAGTAAGCACAACTCTCTCAAAGTTTTACTGTAGAAGGAAGAGGTCTCCAGTAATCCTAAGGAGCATCAAGGTTAGACTTCCAAGATCATGTACTAGGAGTTGAGAATCACCATCCAGGCGTCTTCACAGCAATGCTATATGCACAATAATGGACATGATGGGGAAACCTCTTGAAAAGCTATGCACGTTCAGCCTACTGACAGTGATGCTTTTTATATCACTATCTGTGCCAACAATTCTATTTCAGGATTTAAAATGAGTTACCTCAGCAAAGAGAAGACGTCGTATGAGTTGCGGACACAGTTCTGATCCACCTGGAGGAGGTTATTCTTCTGGGTTCCCGAGAGGCCCTTAAAGGCAAACAGGGTAGCTGATTAATTGCTTTTCATAACACTGAAATTAGGTGTCATTTCCCTATTAAAGGCCTTTTTACATTGTTTTTTTTTCTTCCACAAGGGTATCTACGTATCTCGAAGTCATCTTCTTAAGACTGCCCACATCTTATGCTTATCTCAGTTGCTAAATGAAAACACTTCTTTGAAATGAGCCCTTTAAGGCACCAGCAGGCCAAAAAGGGAGTTCAAGGGAAAAATTTAATTATCTGCAGCTTAAGTATAAACAGCAGTTCCCATGCTGCCTAAGGAAAGCGCGGAAAGAATTTCCCTTTTTAATCTGCTTAGCTGATCAATATATGCAATGGTGTAATTCCTGCCCCCCTCCCCCCGCCACAAGTATTTTCCCACCAGAGAAGAAAGTGCTTGGGAATGGTAGGGCATAAATGAAGGAGTCAATAGCAGAGGAATCTCTCAAAAGCCCAACTGCTCACTGCTTCTGAAAAAATCCCCACATGCTGCTGAGCCAGGAAGCTACACCCATATTCAATACAACATAGGGACCACTTGAAGGGGGAACCACACATCCAATAATAAAATAAGGCTATTGAAAATGCTCCAAGCTTTATCATACAACTTTTTTTCTCAGTTATCGTATTTTTCGCTCTATTAGACACACCGGACCATAAGACACACCTAGTTTTTAGGGAAAACAAGAAATAAAAAAGCAACGCAAAGCATCCTGAGCTAAGAGGGAGCGCTCCTCCATCTTCGCTCAGGAGGCCTTGAGGGGCTATCCCTGAAGCCAAGAGAGCAAGCGGAATCGGTGCACACCGATCCCACTTGCCCTTCTGGCTTCAGTGAAAGCAAGCCTCCTGGCTTTCCCCTGACCTCCCGCAAGAGCCGTGCACTCTTTAAAGGGAGCACGGCTCTTGGGGGCTTTTCTGGGAAGTGGGGGAAGGGACAGAGTCGCGCATCTCCCGCAAAAGCCAGGGATAGCCGTGCGAAGCTAGAACAGCTAGAGGGAGCACTGCGTTGTCCTGGCTTCTTGTTTAGCCGCGCGTAGCTTCTCCCGGCTGTGGAGGCTGCGGGCAGCTAAACAAGAAGCCAGGACAGCCAGTGGGATCCCTGCGATCCCACTGGCTGTCCTGGCTTCTTGCTTGGCCACCCGCAGCCTCTCCCGGGCAAGGGGAGCCTTCCTTACCTGCCCGCAAGAGGCTGCGCACGGCTAAGGCTCCCCCAAGAGCCGCACTCCCTTTAAAGAGCGCACAGAGTGTGTGTGCAGCTCTTGGGGGCTTTTCCTTCTCCCTCCTCGGGAAAAGCCCCCAAAAGCCACACACACACTCTGTGCGCTCTTTAAAGAGAGCGCTGAACAGAGCCTCCCACCTGCATTCGCTCCATAAGATGCACACACATTTCCCCTTACTTTTTAGGAGGGGAAAAGTGTGTCTTATAGAGCGAAAAATACGGTATATATGAGGATCATATCAGCTCACTCAGCCCTACGTCTTCTTTTGTTATTCCCACAGCTCCTCCAACCCCAATTTTACATAAGCTATAAAATAAGAACAGCTTGCCCAAGGATTGTAGCTGCATTTTGAACTGGAAGTGGAATACTCCGCAAACTGGAAATGCTTCTATGTGCACAATCTCCACAGATCTTAACATGGGCCTTTGGCGTTCCGCTTCAGATTCCAAATGTAATGAGCAAATACACCCATACGCACCCATTCATTTAATTAGTAGCTGTAGGAAGTCTCCAAATTCCACTTTTGACTAAAAGCAGCTCAGCAAAACTGTTTGAAACCCATGATCTTCCAAAAGGTAAAATATATCAAAATTATCTCCCCGGGGATCTGTGAATACAGCGCATTATGCTAACCCTGCCTTCGTAAACTGATCGGGTGACTTTGGCAAGATCCACAGCTCAGGTAGAAAGGCCAGAAACTTCTATCCAGTAGCCATCACACATAATTGTAAGAAATACCGTATTTTCCCAAATGTAAGCCGCACCCAAATATAAGCCACACCTTTAAAATTCAAGGGGGGGGAGAAAAAAAGACAATATCCGAATATAAGCCGCTCACTTAAAATTCCGCAGGCACTCACACCCGTTCCGTTTTACTGTATGTCTGTTTCAGAAACAATATCGTAAAAGCCAGTTTTTGTAAGGTCGCGAATTTAAGCCGCACTTTAACTTTTCACGGTCGGATTTTGGGAAAAAAGTGAAGCTTATATTCAGGCCAATACGGTATTCAGCTCTCTGAGCTGTCACCCAGAGAGGCTGCTGTTATATTCATGCCAAACCACCAGACTTATTTTTTAATGGTAACTGAGGTGGTCTTCCCTAGAGGGATTACTATGTAGGTTCCAATCTGTGGCTTACCTGTAGCTCCCATGTGAAAAATTGAAGCCTATATACAACACTAATGACATATACAATATAAGTATCCTTACCTTTTGTTCGTATGAGGCTCCATAATAGCCATCGTTCAGCCCAAAAATAATTTCATTTGGGCTACGCGCATGTATCTGTTAATTAAAAGTGTCATAGATTCAGTGAACTTGATTTTGAATTTCATTAGTTCTCCTAGCAGTTAAGGTAACATTCATTACAGGAATAATCAGTATAGAGACTTCCTTCAATTATCCAAGGTCACCATCTGCGCAACAGAGGAAAGGAATGTGGAATATGGTCCCAGGCATTCACTTCCCAGACCAAATGTCAGAAAATGCAAACACAGAAGCAAGTATTGTGGCAACTTAAAAGACTAAAAAGAAATAAGAATAAGTTTTCCTGGATCCGAACCTACTTCACAAAAGTTAAATCCAAAAAACTAAACTAAAAAGGTTAGTCTCAAAAGAAGATACAAAATGAAACAAAATAAACACATTTGACTTCCAATTAGACTCATTGTGTTATTATTTCTACTATGCTTTCTTTTTCCTTTCCCCCCTTCCTCTCCCCCCCTTCCTCTTTTTTCTTTTTTGTGCCTCCTTTATTGGTCTTTCTCGCTTTGATTTGTTAAGAAAGAGATAAAGAGATAAAAGCGTAATACGAAAACTTCAGTAAGTTAAAAGTGATGTTGTCTAATTTTTCTATTACTATTTATATATTGTTAAAATTGGTTAATTGTAATGAATTGATGCAGCAATTACTGTGGGTTTTTCCTTTGTTATTGTTGAATTCTAAATAAAGTATTATTCTTTTTTAAAAAAAGAAGAAGATACCAAACACTGCAGTAATCATGAAGGCTGTTCTTTTGAAACCTGACAAAGAGTAAAATTACTGAACCATGAGTAGTCGACCATTCACCAGTGAGGAGGGTCAGTTGTCAAGATGAGCAACAGAATCTCACTGTCCCATTACAATTTTGTCCGGCATTTACTAACTTTGTCCTTAAAATGATACTTAAGAGATCTGTTGAGATAGCCCAACAAGAACAGATGTCGGCTGAAACTTTCTCTAACTAGCCAACCCATGGTAAAAGCAGCATGTTTTTATTTTACCTGCTGGCCCACATATCTGAGTCCATCGAGATTGACCTTCCACTCTATCAGCAGCTGATGGGTGTCATTCTTGCCGCCCCATATCCTCACCACAAAGCAGGAAACGGACGTATCGAGGCGATCGGGCATAAGACCAAAGTCAAGACTTCGCCATGTTGGGTTCTGTTGTTGCGAAATGAGAGAGACAGCTACAGTATCCTGAAAATGTTCAGGGTTTTACCTGACCATGCATTAAGCTGCCTTATACCAAGACAGACCGACCGTTGATTCATTTAGTCCAATGCTTTTAAAAGAACGTGCTCTATCTAGCAGCCCCAACACAGCCGTGCAACGGCGCCTATGAAAGTTTCCAGTGCCCATGAAGTTTCTGCACTCCACACACACAGAGACACACAAAACTCTCTAGTTTTCTACAATAAGACAGGACCTAGAGCAGAAAGCGAACAGGGAGGGGAAATGCTCTGAAAGGAACAGATTAAGGTGGCTGAAGAGGAGGGAACAGATGGGCAGGGGAGGGAAAGGGAAGGCAGGAACAAACAACCCCAGGAAAAGAAGGAAGGGAACTCTGTGTGTGTGTGTGTGCGCGCGCGCGCGCTCGTGTGTGTGTCTGTATGTATTTGCTTGCTTGATTTTCTTCTATGGAGCCTATTTTGTGTTTGTTTTGGTTTTTTCCCTGAATACAGTGGTACCTCAGGTTACATACACTTCAGATTACATACGCTTCAGGTTACAGACTCCGCTAACCCAGAAATAGTGCTTCAGGTTAAGAACTTTGCTTCAGAATGAGAACAGAAATCGCTCCAGCGGCACGGCGGCAGCAGGAGGCCCCATTAGCTAAAGTGGTGCTTCAGGTTAAGAACAGTTTCAGGTTAAGAATGGACCTCCGGAACGAATTAAGTACTTAATCCGAGGTACCACTGTACAGTCATACCTCGGGTTGCGAACGTGATCCGTGCGGGCGGCATGATGGCAACCCGCAGTGCCGTGTCTGCGCACGTGTGTGACGCAATTCCATGCTTCTGTGAACGCGCATGACATCATTTTGCACTTCTGCGGATGTGCCGAAACCAGAAAGTAACCTGTTCCAGTACTTCTGGGTTCGGCGCAGTCCGCAACCCGAAAACGCGCAACCTACAGCGTTCATAACCCAAGGTATGACTGTATAGGTGGTGAACTGGATGTGATTGGCAGGTAGGCAGGATCCTGGGTTCCCCCACTCTTGGTGGTGGTTGTTGTTTAGTCGTTTAGTCGTGTCCGACTCTTCGTGATCCCATGGACCAGAGCACACCAGGCACTCCTGTCTTCCACTGCCTCCCGCAGTTTGGTCAAAGTCATGCTGGTAGCTTCGAGAACACTGTCCAACCATCTCGTCCTCTGTCAGCCCTTCTCCTTGTGCCCTCCATCTTTCCCAACATCAGGGTCTTTTCCAGGGAGTCTTCTCTTCTCATGAGGTGGCCAAAGTATTGGAGCCTCAGCTTCACGATCTGTCCTTCCAGTGAGCACTCAGGGCTGATTTCCTTAAGACTGGATCGGTTTGATCTTCTTGCAGTCCATGGGACTCTCAAGAGTCTCCTCCAGCACCAGAATTCAAAAGCATCAATTCTTCGGCGATCAGCCTTCTTTATGGTCCAGCTCTCACTTCCATACATCACTACTGGGAAAACCCACTCTTGGTGGGACACTCCAATTCGTGAACAGGGCCTATCAATACTTTGACATCACTGATATTCATGCTATAAAGGAAAATCTAAGGCCAGCTAAGAGAAGAGATTGTCAGAAGATCACTCCTTGCAGCATGCACAGTCACCAAACATTTATTGCAAGTTTTAACAGTGTTTTAAACTCTGACCAGAAGCAGCTCTGTGTTTACATGACAGGAAACAAAGCCTCGTTCAGCTGCCCTAAAAAAACTAATGCCAGTCTCCGGTTTAACGCAGCGACGCACACAGCTTGCCAACTTGCACATAATGCCAAATGGAAACATTGAGACAGTTTGAACAATGTTTCACTCAAATATCTAGACATTTTGGAGAAAAGATTAATCTGGAACTTTGCTGAAGCCTCACAGTGAAGGCAACTTACCAGAGAATTCTTTATCACTTCACTCTTATAAAATTCTAGAAAAGGAAACAAAATTAAAGAGAGCATTAGAGGTCAGACTGTGCAGGTCTGGGATACAGAGCAGATACTTATGCTATGGAAAAAGATTTTCACATTTGTACGAAAGGTAACTCGCATACCAAAAAAATTATTTCATTCTAGGGAGAAACTTGATAAGGATTCATTCAAAATAATAATGAAGGACCCTTATGGAAAATTAGCTGCCTTGACCATGAACAAGGGGAACATGGTGCCAGGGGAATGGGAAGCACAGGTGGCCACAAAATCCATCACTGCCACATCATGATGGCACCAAAAAGGGAAAGGAAATGGCTGAACACAGTGTAAACAGACAAACCTGCAGGATTCAATGTGGACGGGGAAGGGGGCACTAGCAGCCTAAGTGAGAGTCCGCTTTTACAAATATATTTGTAAAACAGCTACAGGAGCTACAAATGCCAAGGTTTAAAATTTAAAAAAATTAGGCATGCACGCACAGAGCACTGGAATTAGGTTCATTTTAGGTCTACTGAACTGCAAACTTAAATACTACTGCAGAACAGTTGCTTGGCTTTTATTCCAGAAGGCAGGCAGTGTCTCAAAGAAGAATGTTCATTTGCTTCAGCCAGGCGTTAGTTTAAGCTAAAATTATTTGGCTACTAGGAACAAAAACCCCTACCCGCTTTTGTCACATTCTTTTTTTGTAATGTGAGGAAACAGATTAAACCTGCAAACCTATACACATTTACCTAGGAGAAATG